AAGCATGCTATAAACATTTTCTTTCTTTTTTTCGGCTACTTGTGCTTCAGCTCTTGACCACAAAATGAAGCCAACACGCTGTGTAATAAGGTTGATGAATTTAAGCGTTTCGTGTTGCGTTATATCATGTAATATGCAAACACACACACACTAACTACACATACACTCATACATACACAGAGACACAATTGCTACTTATGTATGCACATGCATATATGAATGAATGAGAAACATAAGCGAGCCGCAGTTCCATTGTTCAACATTTGCAGCAGCCGCAGACGCGTGTGTGTATATGTATTGTGGTTTTATGTATGTATGTGTGGGTGTGTGTGTGGCTTGTGCTTGCTTATGCTGTCAGAATGTTTGACTTTGTATAATAAAAAAGGCCTCTTTTAAAAACATTAGCAACTTTTGTAGTGCCTAAACGCGCCGCTAAATGTGAGAAGCCAACAACAACAACAACAGGCACTCGAAATTTTACATCTAACTCCTACTCACACGCTCACACACACACACGCACTCACGTGTATATCTTTATATATGTGTCTGTATGTGTGTGTGTGCACACACACTTGTAACACCCTGTGCTTTCCCTGCAGTCAACAAAACGCCATCTGCCACTCAATGAATGCGTGGCTACACTGCGAGAAAAATATATGAGCAGATTAAACTGTTGGATTAAGGAGGAGGAGAAATCTTTAAAGTTACATTTTGGACTACATAAGTAGAATAGTTAAGGATTTATATAGATAGTGCAGAGTTCTGGAATTGTTACATGTTTATAAAAATAGGAAAAAAATATTTATTGATAAGAATAGACATTATGCTTTTGAAGGAAGGAAACGATTAATAACAAAAGCTATTAAATTGACAAGAATGAATAAATGATAATAGAAACTGTAATGATTATACAGAAAGTATTCGTAAACAACATGGAAAATTGAAAGCTAAAAACTTGTCTCAATATATATACTGTAGAATCCGATTATACCGCCGCTCAAGGGACCGTCGCTATAAACGGAAGACGCTAAACCATATATGTTTGCTCATTTAAGTTTGTTTGGGGTCCAGTACGGACGCTATAAGCGGAGTCGTTATAACCAGGTTCTACTGTATATAGCGTCCGTACGGTTATAGCGACAAGAATTCTGGTCCCCAGATAAACTTGTATGAGCAAACTTATATGGTTGTAGCGCCTTCCGGGTATAACGAAGCTACCTTTAGTGTCGTTACAACCGGATTCTACATATGTATATTGCCTAATCAATATTGTAAGAGTTCTCTTCACTCCTGCTCAATGCTCTTACGCATTCCACTTGGTTCGTCAGGAGGTGGCCTTCAATAACATAAACATCATGTCATGTTGACATGAAACATCATGTCAAACGAAAACAAATAATATCAAACTTCTAATTAAATATATCTATATATCCTTTTCTTTTTTTATTTATAATATTTTTAAGCATGTTTTCTGCTAGATTTAGTGGCAAAGATTTATTTTAAAATCTACATCATATATTGCAAACATAAAGAGTGCGTAATCTATATCATAAAATTTATTGCACATTTTATACATTTCTCCAATATTTTATTGTTTATTAAGTCGCATGCCCCATTTTTCTGGCAGTGCAACAAAACGTGGCGCTCTGTAAGCTGCTGCCTCCGTTACGCGCTTGCATGTGTTTCCTGAGCGCCTTTAGCACATCTGTCCATTGGCAAACAAGGGCTATGCTACGACGCGTACAAATGTCGCTGCCCTCGGCCTCCCTCAGCCCCCCTGCCGCCCATACTGTTGTTGCTGCTGCTACCATGGCTAAATCATATTAAAGCCGCTTGCTGCTGTTCCAAGCCCTCAAACCCTTTTTCCTTTTACAGCCGTTTGTTGTGGCGCTTTGCTGCATAAAAATAGTGTGTCAGTTAAGTAAGAGTGGAGGGGGGGGGGAGGTAGGCAGAGGTTGGAGAGGGTGCGTTGTTGGTTATTCTACCTTTTTGGGCACTCGAAAGCCGCGATACGCACAATTATGTTAACGCATTAACATATTTATAGTTGGCACACTTACAAATAGATATGTATGTGGTGTATGTATTTAAAAGCTTGCCGGAACTGCAGTAAGCCGCACCGCCTCCTTCAGCCCCCGCCCCACTCGCAACATTAGCGAGTGTCAACTAATTGCGGTCGCTGCCCGCCTCCTGCCACAATTGGCCTATGTTCCGCTGCCGCCTCCTTCTCGTCCAGCTCTTGACTGAAATCAATTTGCAAATTTGTATAGGGGCTGCTGCCTTTGGCTGTCAGTTTGAGTTTGAGTTCATTTTCATTTGCATTGTCCGCTTGTCCATTTGAGATTGTGCCTCGGGCTTCTTTATTTCCTCCCTCCTGCGCCTGACATCCTCTGCTCTGCCTCTTGGCTCTTATTCAATCTCTCTCTCTCTCTCGATTTGTCGCTTCGTTTTGTCGGGTAGGACGTATATACAAATTGAAAGTGGATAGCCGAATGGAGCTTTGCGTGCTTCAGCTATTATTGGGGTAAGATAATGCATTGGAACGTTAAATCATAAATGATCTATAAATCCTGTTTTGCTGTCATCGATATATAACGAGCTTGTCTCAGTTACTGTGAAAATCATCTACAAAATATCGTTTATTCTTGAATTATATATAATTAGATTTAGTGGCAATAGATAATTGGTAAAGTTTCTAACATACTTCATTTATCATCGATAAATATCGAGTTTGGACTATTAGAGGCATCGACTTAAGAGCACAAGCTTCTCTTATTCCGTATGCATGCTTAGATATAATATGTTTGTAAAACTGTTTAAGATACTTACAGGGTAATAGCTAGTCCATCACTCTCGCCTACAACACTCTCGACTTATGTTTCTTTGTGTTTGTCTGTCTTACATTCAAATTTCTCCATTTACACATGTCCGACATGACATAATCATTTTTTCGGAAATTATTTAGCAAGAAGCCCCCAGCAGGACTTGAAACCTAAACTTTGATAAACACAAGCAGACACACAAACTTACACAAATACACACACACACACACACACACACGCGTTTAGATAGTCTCTCTTACGCACATAGATCGCTCAGGGGCTTGAAATGACATCTGTGGGATTTAATAATAAACTAATTTGCACAGCGTTCCACTCATTTGTTTTTTGCTGTCTCTACTCTTTTATTCATGAATATGCAATTAGTGTGCAAATTAAAGTGTTACGGCCGTTCTACGGCTCTATTTATTATTAACACTAAATGATTTTAAGCACTAGTATTCAATTTGAATGCTCGTCGGTCTCTTTTGCTGGCATTTGGCCAATTTGCCCATCTTCGGGCGAGTCGCAAAAACTAGGCTATGAAATTTTTGTCGAAATGCCTCAAAGTCAAACAAGACATGAATTGGTCATGTTTGCACTAAACAACTGTAAACGGTGGGGTCTACGTATAACAACGTATGTGAGTGAGTGTGTGTGTGTTTGTGTGACATGTCAAAGAATTTTTGTTTCAGTTTTAGTGAACTGTGGGCCAAGTGGAGCTTGAAGCGCATTTCGATGTCCATTTTGGCAAATTTTCAATAGAGCCAATACATTTTGTATAATTCTGAGGTATTTACTTTTATAATACTTTTTCTTCATATAATATAAATAGCTTCTGGATTGTCTTGCGCGCCTAGAGTCAATCCAAAGTACAGTAACCTCTAACGTAATATGCATTTGTGCTACTGTTAAGTCATTAGACTGTTCAAGCTATACTGTTAAAACGATTCAGTTAGCTGTTAATCTATTACTGTTATGAATGTTAATTAACATTATCTGTTAGACTTCAATGCTATCTTAAAATCTTACAATATTAAAAAGAATTGCTTAATATTTCACTTAATGAATTTTCTAAGAATTTAATTCTAAATTCCAAATATTCTATATCAACACTAAATGACTTAAAAGGCCTTTGCTTCACTAGGGGATGAAAAATAACGCTTGCCATTCTCACCTGTAATGTGAGAGGAATTTGTTTTCTTACAAAATGTCAACTATGTTTGTAAATGATAATTTTTGCCTTTGATTGCTACTTGTCTTTTGATAGATATTAGATATTACTTTAGATATTAGACACTTTATGCCAAACTTTTTATGAGAAACTGACTATGAAAAATTAATTTAATATGCTAAAAATTCTAAGATAAGAAATATATAAATAAACACTTATATAAATATATAAATGTTCTTAAAATTTACCTATATTTATATATAAAAATTATATAAATAAATATAAATATATGATTAAAATAATATTTAAATCTTACTTTTAAATCCTTATTAAAGTAGTATATAACAGAAATATTAATTTCTAATTTTACAAATATATAATATACATATACATATTTAATAAAAATGACTTAGAAATTGCATATATTAAATATTTATACAAAATATATTATTATTATTATTTCCATCTTTGAAAAAATGTTAAATTGAATGAAGTTTTTTGCATAAAAGAAATACGTTTAGTTGATACTTAGCGGGCTTCAACATTTCCCATATTTTCTTAAAGCCTCCATTATTTGCATCTAGTTTTACGTCATGCACTTAAATGAAAGTCAACTGAATTGCAGAAGATTTTCCTTTTGTTTTTTAATAAGGTATTTACGAATTAACGACCGTAACAATTGCTTTGTCATATAATTTTATGGAATTTGTAATTAAAGTTGATTGAAAATAGCTTTCGCGGCGTGCCTTAAGCTCATTAATAATATACCACAAAGATTGAGCTATCTTGAAGAGATTACGATTCGTGTTAAACATTTTGGTTAATTAGCTTTACAGCTCAATTGGAAATTCAATGTGTGTGTTGGGGCGTGGGGCGCCTACGTAATGGTCTAATAACCGTTTGCTATTAAAATGCCTATTGGCCAGAGCATTCAAAGTTAAACAACAAATTAATTGACGCCGCATTCACTTTGTCTCATTTGCAATTATTTCTCTTTTTTCTTGCAGTACTTCACACCTCGGCGAGTTTAGCGTTAAACGAGAGTTGGGATCCAGACGTCAGGTGAGTCATAATAAGCTTAAGATATTCAATAGATATATATATATATATATATATATGAAATATATATTTCGATCCACAGAGACGATATGGAAATGATGTTGAATAAAATAGTTCCCGAAGGTTTGCCCTATAGGCATTCGTGCGAAGGACCCGACGATATGGTAGCTATAAAAATAATTGATATATGTATATATGGGCATATTGAATTCTATTCGATCTCTGCTTTACAGCCCGCACACGTGAAGGCCTGCTTTCTGGGCAGCTCACTGACAATCCCCATTACCGATGGCAAACTCTCGCTGGGCACCTGGCAGGGCGTTTGGCTGTGCGAGCATCGCGATCAGGCCGGCAGCCGTAAGCTGGTGATCACACTCACTGGCTGTCCGCGCGAACAGGCTGTACGCAGTCCGCTGTCACCCGTCTCGCCCATCGCCAGTACGTCCAGTTAGGGGCGGCCTCGCTCCACCCGCGACAGCCGGTAATCGCGGGGGAGCGACAATAATGACATCATTTCGTCGAGGAAGTTGATTTTACAAAAGAATTTAGCTAGGGCCACAGCACAGCAGCGAGCGGCGGCAGTTATAGCCGCCGGACATGGTTTAATTGGAGCAACTGCATCCGTTGCGGCACCGGCGCCACCCGGCGCTGTGCCCATCGATACGAAGACGCAGCGTTTGCTGTTGCGGCAGCGTTTACATTTGAATTTGAATTTGAATGTTACCGAAACGCTGCAGGATGGCGTTGATATTGATGATGTTGATGAGGATGTCTGCGACGACGACGATGATGACAATGGTACTGATGATGATGTGGATGACAATAGGACTGCATCCACTGATGATCGAACCGTTGTCATTGTTGACAACGTTGTGGATGTCGTCGATGCTCAGGGCAGTGGGCGTCGCCGTGTTGGTGATAATCTACAAACCGTCACAACAGTGCCTCAAACCAAACAACAACAACTAAGACATAAGATCACCGCAGCAACAACAACAACAACAGAAACAGAAACAACAACCAGCTCATCAACAGCATCTAGCGCATTAGCTAAATTCAATCGTATACTCGAGTCTGCTAAACTGGAACCACATCGGGCCTCGTCTGCGTTCAGTAGCGCAACGCTGCAGCAACGCCTGGCGCTGGCCTATCCAGAGCTGCAACAGCAACAACATCATCCTCAGCAGCAGCATCAGCAGCAACACGAGTTGCGACAAGTCGACAACCTCCCACGTAGCACTAGTCGTGGCATTGCCGTCGTTAGCACCCCATTAACATTGCAAGCACTAGACACAATAAAAACCAAGACGACGGCAATGTTAGAGCAACAACAGCAACAATTGCTGCAACAGCAGCAACACGACGCCGCTGATTATACGAAACGAAATGATGTGCATTATTTGTTGAAACAGTTAAATAGTTTTAGTGATATAGAAGAAATAGAAATTGTTGATATGAAGCAAAGACAGCAGCGACAGCAACAGCAGCAGCAGCAGCCTCAGCAACAGCAGCAACATCATAAAAACCAACAGCAGCAGCAGCTAGAACAACAACGCACAAGCAGATCCTCTGCAGCTGCCGCTGCGCCTGCGCCTGCCGCTGGCTGCTCCAGCTCCTTGGAGCTGATGCCCATGTCCCGTTCCATGTTGCCCATCGCCTTGGGCTCGCCATCGACACAGTCGCACAAGGGCAACTTTATGGGGCATGCTGGCGACAGTACGACACGCTTGCAGTTCGATGATTATTTGTTCGAATCGTGTCATTATCTGGAGACAAACTATTTTGCCGCTACCTATCGCACTGCCATGGTCGAGAGCAGCTCGCACGAGTTCCGGCCCTCGACCACAACGCCGACGAGCACACGGTCGGACAGCTTTGAGCTGCACGAACTGGAGCCGCCGAGCGTAATATGCAAGGCGGCACCCATGCTGGACTATCATGCCGCATCGCCGCCGCCCTATCAGGCGGAGGTGCGCATGACCAGCAGCGGTGTCCAGACGGAGCTGACAGTCGAGTCGCAGCTGAGTCATAGCGGCAGCTCTAGCTCAGGCAGTTCGCCGCATGTGCCGCCCTTTTTCATATGCTGCTACACGCCCATCGATCGTTGGCGGGCAAGGCGAATGGGCGCGGCTAATGCCGCCAAGCGTGATAATCCAGAGAAAAACGGGCATGCTGTCTGACAGTAAATGAATTTATACAAATAACTCAAAAGCGATACTAACTAAGCGTCAGCTGCGCTGTTTCATTTGCGATATCAACAAACGATTCCATTTCGAAGACAGTCAATACACAAAACTTCGCCTAAAATTCATTTTGAAAAAGTTTAAAACAAAAACATGTACATTTTTTTATACACACTCACACACATACCAAACATTCGCACATTTTTGCAATACACTCAACAACAAAAAAGAAGATGAAGAAAATATAAAACATTTTGATAGACTTCAAATTAAAGATAAATTTATTGAAAAGAGTGAAGAGTAAACTCATTTGGAAATGTAAAAATAATGAAATGAAAAGCAAACTTCAAGCATGTCATCATAATTATAAATTGTAATTGAATTGTTTCAATCCAATAAAATACTAAATAAAATTTCAAGCAAAATCGAAAATTGTTAACATATGCGCAAAACAACACAGAAATTTGTAGCCAGCTAAATGAAGTTGAGAATTGTGAGAGCTTGTATAGTAAGTTGTTTAATAAATAATAATAATGAAAGCTAAATAAGTATATAAACTGAACGAAAGAAACGCACAGGCTGAAAGTTCTTTCAAAATTTGTTTTTTTTTTATGTAAAATTCTAGGGAAGGCAAGAAGAGTGAAAGTGTTTAACAGAAAGTTTTTTGATATTAAAAAAAAATATTGTTTACTCATTTTAAATGAGAAATACAAAATTCTTTAAAATTCTGGCGAAGATGAACATTTCAGCATCAACTGTGCGTTTCGTAGTCAAAAGTTATGCATTGAGTTATTCATAAAACCAAGCAAGAAATGCAATTGTTACAAAAATTAACACTATAGAATATTAAACAATTGTGTTTTAACACCATCTCGCTAATATCAAAATTATATTGCATAGTTTTTGGCACAGTAAAGTATGCTATAAATATAATGGCGGAATGTGTGAAATCGAAACATGTTGGAATCTCGTTTTTATGATCAATTTGTTGTATATGTTAATATAATTTGTAAGCATCTTAACGAAGAGCAAAGAAAAAATCAACTGGAATTGTTCGAGCACAAGCAGCAACTGCTTTTAGTTTTCGTTTATTTAAATTTTCCTTTATCTCTCTCTCTCTCTCTCATCAATTGTGAACCCAATGGAAAGCAATATTAGTTATTAATATTCTGATGAAAAAGAAAAAGAAAAAACAAATCATGTGTAGAATTTGGTCAATTTGGTTGGAAATTAAAGGAAAATAAAAGAAGAACACAATGTAAGCTAAACTATTCCATTAATTAATAACTAATACATAGACATAATATCACTAAGCTTAACAAACAAAGATACGCGCTTTAGTTGGAAACAAAATAAAACAAGTTTGAAACAATAAAATATTAAACAAATTTTTGATCAATTATTTCTCTGAGTTATCAACTCGAATGTGTATTATTTCTGATGTTTAACAATCTACATATATAGAGCCTTAAATTTTAAATTGGGCATATCATATGCTGACTTAATTGGAATGCTAGCAAATAGTGAATGTAATTTCAGGTTTTTCAGCTCAGTTCTTCCAAAATGAAAACAAACAAACAAAACACAATGATACAAAAAATACACAAAGAGAAACCAAACAAATGCCTTTTACATGCCCACACGTACACTAATAGACAACAAACAAACTAAAAACTTAAAATAAGTAAACAAAATGAAATGAAACAAAGAATGTTTAACAACAAGTTAAAAACGAATGGAATAAGATTCGGTTAAAAACTCTTCAAGTTCAAACTTCACAAGTTTGTTGAATGTGAATTTGGTTAACTGAGAACAATTGTTAAGTGGGTAAAAGTTAGAAAAAAAAGAAGAAGCAGATATAAATAAAAATAATATCTATTGTTGTATGTTTTATTCTGAAGCGCACGAAAAACATAATAAATAGCAGAAAAAAGACATGCAAAATGTAGCTAAAGAAATGTTAAGGTAAAAATTTTTGTAAACTTTTTGATATGTGATGATGATTTAAATAAATTAAAGCTACAAAAAAAAATGAAATAAAATTAAAATAAACTAAATAAATACATAACTTAGCCGTAGATATTTAAATTAACAAACAAACAAATTTATATAAAAAAAAAATATTAAAAAATTCTTATAAAGTAAAGTAGCCCAAAGCAAAATTTAGTGCATAATAAAAAAAACATGCTAGTTAAAATATAAAAATAAATAATAAATTGATTGTAACTTGTTAAACTTTAAGCTGTAGACTCGGCAAGCCGAATCACATGTCTAGCCCCGAACTGAGCTGCGACAGTTTCCACAGATCTTTTGATTTGTGTTTTTGGAAATTTTTGAAAATTTGCAATTAAATTAAATTTCCTATTTACTATAGGGCGGGGCTATAGATCTAGCAATATTCATGGCAATTCAATTGTATTAACGACATTGATAAATCTGAAATGTAAGCAAATAAAAATAATAATATAAAAGAAAAACAAATTTAGCGAGCATTTTGTAGGAATGTGTAGTTAAAAAGGAAAATATAATTAAATAATATTTATTAAATTGAATAGTAATTCTATGTGCATAAGTAGCGAAATATTCAATTGTAAATAGATTTTTAATAAAAACAAATTTAGTTTTCATGAATTTTCTTTTAATTATTTGTTTTTAAAGTGTTTCATAATCAATTTTCACTAAGGCAATATACGAACATTTATAATTTGGTTTCTTAACATTCACAAAACACAAAAAAAGCTTTAAATAACTGAATTAAATCAGATTTTGATACCATTATCATTGATAAATTCCATTGTAGATACAAACTTGTATTGAAACCCCAATTAATTAACATATAGTGAGCTAAGTCAATGTCGCCTAATGTGAGTTATATAAGCATGAATAAATTTATAAAATAATGATAACACTCAGACACACACACATATTTACTATAAAACTGCAACTAAAAATCTAAAAAAAAAATAAATAAAATAAAATAAATATATATAAATAAATAAAAGCAAAAAACTACAACAGGCCTGCAACATCACAACACAACATTCACAACACAAAGCTTTTATAAAACTATTTAAAAATATATATTTAAAAAAGAAAAAAAAAATGTAAAAAAAAAATAATAATCCTGCCAAGTAACATTCGAAATACCTGCTTGATGAAGATACACCCGCTTTTGCTAAAAGAAAAACCTAAAAACTAAAACAAAAATTCAATAAAAAATATATTAAAAAATGAAAGGCTTAATACGATTTTTATACTTTCGATATAATGATTTTTTATACTAAGCGTAAAACTCTTTGAAATGAAAAAAAAAAAAAAACTGACGATTTTTTGGGGTATCAGCTAAAAAGTAACGTAATGTATTTTTAAACAAAAAAAAAAAAAAAAAAAAAAAAAAAAAAAAAAACAATATTGATTTGTTGCAAAAATCGTACTTACAGTCGAGTTATATATATATATATATATATATATATATATATATATATATATATTTTATATATATATATATATATATATATATATATATATATATATATATATATATATATATATATATATATATATATATATATATATATATATATATATATATAATATACGAATGTAATTATATATATGTATACATATATATAAACCCTAACTGCAACTATGGAACGAGAGCACAAATTTTGTTTAACAAAATAAATAAAAATCAAATACTAAGAAAAACCCTTTTTTTTAATTTCACTCTTAATCACACACACATACAGAAACACACAAATATAAAATCCAATATATACATATTTATATACATATACAAATCCTCAACTAAATATATGAACATGTATGTACAATATGTATATCTAGCTAAAGAATCGCACAAATTGATCACCGATCTTTGCTTTACGCCAACTCCCACTTAGAGACCCAATCCCTGGCCCAAAAACACACACACATACATAGACTCAAGCTACAAATACAATTTATTAATTATATCACACATACACACACCCACACATATATTTTTCAGCCTATAAACGCGTTATTTTGTATGTGCATACAATTTGTAAATACATACATATATATATATATATATATATATATATATATATATATATATATATATATATATATATATATATATATATATATATATATATATATATATATTAACTAATTTTTCCTAAAAAACCAAATATGAAAAAGAATTTCATGCATTCATTTGAATACAATTTTGTTTTCTCCTATTGCATTTGTATATGCACAATGTGTTTCAAGTAAAATAAAAGGACAACGTAAATAAATCATGAAAATCGAAAGTTTTTACCCAAATGGAACACATGGTGTATGTCTATTAATCTATGTATCAAAACAAAGACAACAAACCAAAAAACGCATACTTTAACGAATAAAATGTCAACTACAATAAATGAGCAGATGGAGAAAATAATATTAAAATAATAAATAAAAAAAAAAAAAAAAAAAAACAAACAAACAAAGGAAAAATAAAGTAAAAAACTAGTGCAATAATTAACAAATTATTCGGTAATAAATGTAAAATTAAATACATTTAAGTAAACGCTTTGTAAAATACATATAAACAATTTATTAAAAATACTGAATGAAATGAGAAAAAATGGAAAACAATAAAAAAAAAATTATTATGGAAAATGAAAAATACTATTGAGTAATAAAAAGCGTTATGCATTGACATTGACACACGTGATTCGATATCTCATCTTATAAGCATAAATCAATAAGATAAACAATAAAGAATAAATTAAATAAACATTCCCATTTCTATAATCTGTACAAGTTTAATTTACAGCATTGTAAGTATTACATATTCAGTCATAATCGTTTATTGTATGGCCCGACCCACTCCATCGAAGGTTTTTTCCTTATGATCGGATATATTGGCACGGGATTCATAGTTGCAAATGGTTACGCCATGGAAATGGGCCTCCGTAAACTCACCACGAAAACCTATAAAAAGGAATGGCAGTAGAATTAAGATTTTTATTTATGTGTAACTAAATTTACTAGCCTATATAGTAAATACGCGTAACATCATCGCCATAATTGCTAGGGAAATACAGCGACAAATGATGTACAGAGGAAAATGTCACCACTCTGTAATAGAGATAATATAAAATATTTTAAATGTTAATAGTATATAGAATCAATATAATATACTTAATGATTAATCTAATTTAAATTTACTTTTTTGCTATCTTTCTGTTAAGCCAATCAACCTATCAAAGAACTGTTATAATATACATATATGATACACATATGCATATATATATATATATATATATATATATATATATATATATATATATATATAAACATACGATCGCAAATATGATCACCTACTTGGGTGAGTATTCAACCTCTCCTCGACAATCGCGCGTCAATTCAAACTCCTGGTCCGCTTTGCCACGTGCATCATCAAATGTCATCTTTGGTCGGTTCTTGAAGCTATAAACAAAAACAAAAGCTCCTTATTTAAAATAGCACGACTATAGCAATACTCAAATATATACGCACAGTTTAAGCCTGTTTGGATGTGTGTTATCATTAGACCCTCGGATGATAATCCCCTTCAGCTTAATGTTGCCGGTAAAAGGTACATTGAACAGGAGTTCTTCATCACCATCGCTTTGCACAAACTGTAATTAGAAATGTTATAGCTTCTATACACAATATCATTTTATCATTGCCACGCCCACCTTACTGCTATCCAAACGTTTTTCGTAGGGCTTGAAGACGGTCTTGCCACTGCCATCGGTTTCCTCATTCAAACATTCCGTATTCTCGATGTCAATTTTTGTATACAAACTGTATTCGATGCCCATTTCCAGTGCATTGTCGACATCGGTTGCCTCGTGGCTGCAACCGCGGCCATGATCATGCGAGTGTCCGTGTGGCATTTTTGTGAATATTAATAATAGTTTCAAATAAAAGTATACAATAAAATGACAAGAATTTTATGCAAGTAATTGTAATTGTATGAGATTCAGAGTTATTATCGAAATATCGATAGTTGAGTAAAGTTAATTCACTAGCGATGGCACTAAATAAAATATCGTTGACTACTTTAGCGCTTTATTGTTAAAATATTATTTGAAGCGTCACATTTAAGCAAACATTTTAGAGCTTAAATTATTGAACTATTAACATATAACTGTCACATTTATGCAAACATTTGATCACTTTTGGGCACTCTTAACTTAATAATATTCCGGTTATTATTTTTCTAATTTGAAGTAGTTTATGGTTGTAGCATAACAGTGCGTATATATTGAAGGACATCTGGATGGACCAGAATGCCCATGTGATCGACACCCTGTAGAGCCAGCGTTGATATATGGGAGGAGCTGTAGCCCTCCCAACTCTGGCAGGCTCGAAGCGAACGTTGATTAACGGTACCATCGCCATAGCCCATTTTAAGCTTCGGAGTTTCCCCGTTTATAGTATCCTTTTTGTATATTAAACTAAGAGAAAAAAAATATCCGATTAAGTTTCAATTAACATTTGATTACACGATTTGAAAATTACCTCTCCACTGTGCTGACTCCATCGCCATATAAACAATGCAACTCCACATCTGGAGGACTAAAGTTTTGTGTATAGCGCATCGTATCCTTACGCATTTCCCAGCCCGTCATGTAATCAATATCATGGAAGAACTCCTTCATCTGAGCCATGGTGTAATTACGCGATGGAGTCGAGGCCAGCACTTCAGATGGCTTCCAGAACAGTGGCGACGGCAGCAGCCAAGCTGTCGATGGATGCGAGATCTGTTCGGCACGTAGTATTTTGGCGCTCAGAGCAAACGAGTCTAAGTCGTCGCCCATGGCAAACACCTTAACTGCCTTCATGCTGCCCGCCCAGGCGCCAGCTAAACTAATTTGACGACGAACATATTGAGCCTTCCACTCGGCTGTTTGTTCCTGCAAGAAGACGAGAGTCATGGGGCTGCCCATGCTGTGCGTTATAAATGTAACGGCAGTTTGATTATTAGCTTCATATGTGTCCTCCACCAGCTGCTTCAGATCAATAAAGAATTGTTTATTCTCATCTGCAAACGATAAAGAATTAATAAATTATAAGATTGACTATTTGGTAGACTTACTTGGCGCCCGTCGAAAGTCGTAGGGAGCTCCACGGATATTTAAACGGCGCACATAGCCCAGATCTGCCAATACATTGGCGATATCCTTAAAATAGGCTCCAGCTTTGTTTCTCGTGGGATCTATCCACTCCACGACTTCCGGATCACCCCAGCCAGGTATACGCGTCTCCACACCTGGCGTATTGTGCGTTGTCCTTGTTACCTTATCATAGTAGAGCTTCACATTATCTATCCAACAGTAGACCATCGGTATGACCAATTGCTCCAGATCGAGCCACAGATTATACCAATCATGTGTCTTTTCGCATATGAAGTAGGGTGAGTCCGATTTGCTCAAGCGTGCCTCGAGTTGAGAGCCACCGTCACCAGGTACTGCAAAAATTCCAATTGTGACCTTGGAATTCGTTCATCTACATATTCAAATCAATACCAACCAAATATAACAGGACTAAGTCTTTTTTCCTTTGGGGGCTCTGGTTTTGGTGGATGTTTGCCTTTTTTATGAAAAGGCCAAAAACAATTTCCAGCACTGAACAATGCTACAAAGAGCAGCACTGCAAATATTATGCTGCAGAGTCTCATGATGATATGCGTGCGCCGTTGTGCTTTACAATAACAGTACGAGCGATCCGCTATAATTGGCGATCCTCTGATTTAATTCTTTGCACTCCAGCGGTCAGTGGATAGATAATGATATTACTGCTATTAAATCAACAGTCGTAAACAAATGAATCAGCGCTTCAATTATATGTTTACATATAAGTACATATAAGCATTTATGAATGTATAGATATATATGTATGTATGTATATCCGACAGCCAAAATTCAATTGAACTTTTAACCAGTAAATGTAACTGTAACTCTAACTGTAATAATGGGCGGCTCTTTTCCACATCTCAATATGGCGCGATATTGATAGCCCCACTGCTGTTATTGTTTTTTGTTTGTTATTTTTTGTGCGCTTTCATAAACAAAGGAATCCGATGTTGTTGTTTCCGTGGCGTTATCTTTGATATTGAATACTTTTTGTTATTGTTACTCGCATCTGCGCATCTGATTTGCCAGTGCTATAGAGTTCTGCAGGCAGACGAAAATTTTAGTATTTTTTAATTCCCATTCATATGGTCACATTGTGCTGTACAATGTATTTCACTTTAAGCAACAAATTAGACTTAAGTATTAAATTAGCTTTGGATCAAAAACAAAAATAAATAAATTAAAAAGACAATAGAAGTTTTCGCTGCGTGCGATTGTTTCAATACTCACGAATTGCAAGCAGCCGATATATCGATAGTAGTATTAATCGACACGACCGGCAAATGCACTTGTTAAGCGCGTTCAAAAGCAAATTTAGTTTGTTTAATTAAAAATAGTCGTAACTGCAGCCTGGAAAGCACATAAAGCACAATGCAGGAGTTTTTCAGAGTGCTGATGCCGGACGTAAAGAAGGAGCTACGCCGCGGCATCATCGAGTGCTCAAAACGCGGCTTGCTGCACAGCACCAAATGGCTAGCAGAGATGCACCACGGCTTGAGTGATGTGAACATCGACAATGCGGCACCGGATGATGATCATTCGTTTAGCGAATGCCAGCTGGAGGGCATTACGCCAGCTGAGTATAGCGATTATTTCCTAGCCAAGAGCTACTACGATGTGCGTGAATATGATCGGGCAGCGCACGCTGTCCGGAACTGCGAATCCAGTGTGCCACGATTTCTTCACCTTTACTCTACGTACATGGCACGCGAGAAGCGACGTCTCGACTCCACCACCGATCAAGCGAATCTCAACGAGCCAAATCAAATGCGCGACTTGGCAGATCTCTTGGCCACGTTACGCGCTGAACATGGACGCGGTCGCTTAGATGGTTATGGAATGTATCTATATGGCGTTGTACTCAAAGCTTTAAACCTTAATAAAGCAGCTGAGCAAATGCTTGTAACCGCTGTGCGGATGGTGCCAATGCTGTGGAGCGCCTACCTGGAACTATCACCCCTCATTATGGAAAAAAAGAAGTTGCTGAGCATGCAACTGGGCGGTCATTGGATGCGTCATTTCTTCATGGCACACACGTACTTGGAGCTGTACTTGAATGATGATGGACTGAAGATCTATGAGGACCTGCAGGCTGCCGGCTTTAGCAAGAGCATCTATATAACCGCACAAATGGCACACGTCTATCACAATAAGAGGGGTTCGTAGCTGAGAACTCGCTCGAGAAAGTTTTTAACCTCTATGTATAAATTTTAGATGTGGATAAGGCTATTGAGCTGTTCCAGGCGCTGTTTGAGAGCGATCCTTATCGCTTGGACAACGTTGATACATACTCAAATTTATTGTTTGTCAAGGAAATGAAAACGGAAATGGCCCAACTGGCGCACAAGGCTGTTAGCATTAACAAATACCGGCCCGAGACATGTTGTGTTATAGGCAAGTAGTGACCGGCGTAACTAAGTAAATTAATATTCTAATCGATTATCTAATCCTATATAGGCAATTACTACAGCATACGCTGTGATCACCATGTGGCCATTTCCTATTTCCAGCGCGCTTTAAAACTGAATCCGAAGTATTTAGCAGCCTGGACGCTGATGGGTCATGAATTTATGGAACTGAAGAATACAAATGCAGCCATACAAAGTTATCGCAAAGCTGTGGAGGTCAACAAGCGTGATTATCGTGCTTGGTATGGCTTAGGTCAGGCCTACGAGATCATTAAGATGCATTATTATAGTTTGTATTATTTTAAAATTGCCCATCAATTGCGTCCGTATGACTCACGCATGCTTGTTGCATTGGGCGAAACATACGAGAAGCTGGACAAGTGTGAAAATTCGGTGAAATGCTATTGGAAGGCCTGCGATGTGGGCGACATCGAGGGCATAGCCATGTATAAGCTGGCCAGCCTGCACGAGAAACTGGGTGACAACGAGACGGCCGTTCATTGTTATATTATGTACTGCGAAGACGAGCGCGCTGCCACCGACAAGCAGAGCCTCTATCAGGGCTTCATGACTCTGGCCAACTACTACGAGAAGAAGTGTGACTATGAGCGTGCTGCCTACTATGCTTACAAGTGTCTGGACTCCGATGATGTAAGTTAACTATCGTACCTTTCCTTCAGCTCCTTTAATAATTGTTTTATTGCAGCGCAAAACGGAAGCTAAAGCGCTCCTAAAAACAATCGATTATCGACGCAGCGCTGAATGCCAGAAGAAAAAATCCACAGCAACGGTGGTGGCTACGGCAGAGACCAGTTCCGAGGACGAAATGGAATGGGAGCAGCTCGATGTACGTGCCCGCGTACCATTTACCTCTATAGCCGATACGAGCAAAACAACGTCTACGGCAACGGCAACCGCAACAGGAAGCTCCAGTGGCAGCTCAGCCACAGGTGCATCTACCTCAGCCGGCGCGAGAAGATTACGTGCGGTGCCGGAGCGTGTGCGTCGAACGCAGCCCAATCAGCGAACCCTGACGGGACCCACAGCAAATAGCACAGCGACAACACCAGCGGCGGCAACAACAATACCCACAATAAGTGAGGAGACGCCAGGAGGTAGTTCAGCAACAACAGCAACGGAAACGGAGACACTTGAGGATTCAACGCCGGCGACAGCAACAGCTGAGCAGCAGGCGGCACACGATAGCAGCGCAATGGAAATTTCTAGCGTGTCCATCGATTAGATAGGATATGTTTTAAATTAGAGAAATTCTACTGTGGGTTTACAAATTGAAGTTTTTTAAGATGAAGAGTGAGTGAGGCATGAACCTATTAAAAGTGTGTTAAAATTTATACAGTTTTTGTATGCAAATGTATATTATATTCAATTTGTAATGTTTATTATATATATTTATATATTATAGCTATTCGGAGTAGCAAGTGGAGTATACTTAAGTCTTTATATCAACTACATATTGGTATGCTATTCCAACAGCTCATCTGAGACATAATTCACTTAAATTAATCCTGTTCCTGCATCTCATAGAGCTCGTCGGATGCACACGTGCAGCGATACATTGAAGGTGACCAACAGAACGAGTAGAAATAGTCCTAATATCAGACCATCCGAATGAACCATATCTCCCGACATGTCAAAATCTTTGAGAAAGTGCTCGGATGATTTGTAATAACAGAAATCCTCATGGCAGGGCAAATCGCCGCGCTGGTAGCCGTAAATGGCTCGCATGAGTCCCTCGAAGACGTAGCGGAAAAAGGAGAAGTCACAAATGGGACGCAAGAACCAGGACAACTCACGCATGCGTATAAAGAAGCCAGAGAAGAGCAGGAACGGTATGGACACTGTGGGCACGATGAATATGGCCAGTTGCATGGAGAGCAAGGTACCGCCAATGACGCCAATGAAGTGACCAATGAACGCGGTCAGCACGCACATGCTCCAGCACATGGCGAATCTGGCTAGGTCCGGCGGCTGTCCAGTCATAAAGTAACTAATTCCTATAAATAAACTCGGACACAGCAATTGCAGCGGCAAATCGGCCAATACCTTGGATATATAGTAGGCTCGGACAGAGTACCAGCCATTATAGTACTCCCTGATGAATACGGGCGCATCTTGCACGCAGAGCAATATGGAGGGCATGGCATTGCCAGAGAATATAAAGAGTATGATGAAGAACATGCAGGAGACGTTGCTGATGACCTTGTTCGCATCATTGCCGATCTGCCAGTAGACCACGCCCAAGAGCAGGCCAATGATAGTGTGCATGATTACACGCATTTGCACGGCAATCTGGAGAGGATTTGGAGTGATATTAACATAATGATATATAGAGAGATCTGTGTTAAGCTGCTTACTGTATCCCTGGACATGGCACGCAAATGTCTGTGCATAAGTATGCGGAGCTGATACCAGAAGCCCACCTGTTCCTTGGGCCGTAGCACCTGAGGCACGGACGAGCTCTCCGACAGCTCAAGAAAAGCTGCTGCAATGAAATTGAGGGAGACAAGAGAAAGGGAAAGATAGAGCAGTGCAATAAATGAAGGAGAGTGGCATGCAAATAGGACCATGATACAGAAGCAACAGTTTAGCGGGTAGAGATGATTAGCAAGACGTCATCCAGTTAGAGCTCAAGCATAGCAAACTTACTCTGCTCATCCGCGGGAACGCTATCAAAGCTCTGTAGGCTATCATACTTGGATTTGTTTTGGGTGATCAAAGTCTCGCAGCGCTGAGCGGAAGACTCGCTGCCCACCTCGAGCACTAAAGAGATATCCATTAGTAAATCTTTAGCTAGACCTCCTTTCACCCACCAAAATCTGCTGGATTGTAATACTGTGGACAGCTGAAGCCAGCCGCCTGAAAGCTCTCCAGCATCTCATGTTGTGCGCCCGCAAACAGCACTTCACCATGGGCCAGTACCAGGATATCATCGAAGAGCTGCATTAGCCGCGAGCTGGGCTGATGCACCACACAAACCACAATTCGTCCGTTGTGCGCCAATCTCTGCAAATAGCCCATCACTTGGTAGGTGGCCACGCTATCCAGTCCGCTGGTGGGCTCATCAAAGAACATAATCGGCGGATTGGTGACCAGCTCAATGCCAATGGACAGACGCTTGTGCTCACCGCCAGAAATGTCCCGGACCAGCGTATGTCGACACGAATGCAAGTTGAGCACCTCAATAATGTCATCCAGCTGGGGAAATTGAATGCGAGTGAGTGGATTAGAAAGTATCAAGAAATCATTTTTTAAAGCACCTAGTTGAAGAGGGCCTTCAGCTAATATAACTGCATTTCTTTACCGGTTACAGGGCATGCTATTGCCGTGAATACCATATAATCGCAAACTTCCATTTACTTACAATAATTTGCTTCTGCAGCGTAGTTGTGCCCGTGGGCAGCTTGAGATCCGCGGAAACGCGCAACGTTTCCTGCACCGTGAGCAGCGAGAGCATCTCAAAGTTTTGCGCTATATACGAGGACATTTTGCGAAACGCCAGCAAATCTCTCGGCTCTCCATTGAGCAGAAACTGTCCGGATACACCGCTGACCCTGAACAAAATAAGATTACTTAGTTCACTCAATTCTCCATCCCAGCTCACTCACTTAAATCCAGCCAAGACATTCAGCAGCGTTGACTTCCCTGCACCGGAGGGACCCAGTATGGCTGTCAGACGACCCGCTCGAAACGCTCCACAGGTTTCATTTAGAATTAGATTCTTCGACTGATTTGAGCCCTTCAGCTTGTAGCTGACCTGCCTGAAGAGCAGCTCCAATGGCTGCACTTTAGCCAAGCCATTTGGCACTGTGGCTCCAGCATTATCGACCATTCTCAGAGACTTTTGTTGTTGACCAATTTTGGTATCAAGGCGTCTGGCCTGGCAGAAAAACAACGCTCGACTGTGGGCTAGTGGTGAATGCGGCTATCGTTTTGCACTCTCCATTGATTGTGGAGTTCAAGTGCCTGCATTTATTATCAGCATTGTAATCGAGCCCGCTGTTTAATCCGAATTCAGCAAAGGGAACAACGAAAATTCTTGCAATCTTATCTGATCGATTGAGACGGTTGCTGTTGTTGCTGTTGTTGCTGTATATTGGCTTTGTTTAAATGTTTAGCTGGAAAAAACATTTGTTTTAAATTTTAATATAATAATAATACAATTTTAAAAATCGATTGAGTCAATGATTGATAGGACTTTAGATATGTTTTGATAGATGGGCTTCTGTTAAGATAAAACACATTTAATACTGTTCGCCTGATTGATCATTGACTGACATGTACGATGTCATAATTGTATCTAAAGCTGGTCAACTCGACTTATCAGCGTTGTTCAATTTAAATAATTAATTACAGCAAAATCTTTCTATAACACTCTTCTTATTTTCATTATTAATAGACTTTGTTTTAAGTCAATTAATTCACAGTTTTTTTTTTTATAAAATATGTTCTCTCTTAATTGTTCATGACTTGACTGTGGTCATTCGAGGTTTGAGGCTAATCATTAGTTTGTTTTCATTTCACATGCAAGGCGATAAGCCAAGTGATAACAACTACAAATTGTTATGTGTTGCACTTAGCGCAGCTACATACACACATATATCAAATTATGAACTATCTGATACTCTGTGACTGTTAAAAATTCTGGTATGAAATGGGAGACCCATTTGATGATAGATTATGCGATAGTCTGGAGCTGAGAACCGTTTTAGGGTTATTAGAAATATCTGTCTGATGAGTAATGGGACAGGTTATTTGAAATAATAGGCTAAGTGAGAACAACTTTAGCATCTAATTGGACGCACTAATTCATTTTATAATACATGAAAAATAATGTCTCTAATTGTGTCTTTAAAGGTATGATAAATATAAAGCGAGGTTGAGACTCTTAATTGCTATGAAATACAAAGTATAATTAAAGCTGGGTTCAACCTTTTCAGAAATATATTCAACTGCGCCCAAAAGTATGAAACAAAATAATATTTGTTTTATTTACAGTCTCACTTTGCTATCTTTGAAATAAGAGTACAATAATTAAGCTTCAATGAATTTCTACCGACATCACAAAACAAAGTAAATTCCTCAAGAGCTTGAATTAAAGTAATGCAACTGCGTAAAATTATTTCTAGTAAATATATAACATAGTTATAGATAATGTAATGTATAATGCAAATATGCAGCTGAAATGATTTTCCTTGACGGCGCTTATCAGGTTCCAGTTACTATATGCTTCAATTTACATATTGTTTGTGTATTATACAATATATGTCTATGTATCTGCAGCTGGAAAACACTTGCAATCCCATTTTAAGGCCTTTCAATTGTAGAGAAAACTAGTTTTAGGCTTTCAACTAGTAGTAGATAATTATATGTTGACTCATAAAAGTTTTTAATTCCGCTAGATATAAATATATATTTATGTATATATCAATTTCTTTGCGTATATATAGATTGTTACTTTTTTAACAATGAGTTGCTTCACTTCAATTAAATTTTCATCACACGTCTTTCCTCCTCACCCGATATGGGTAACCGATCTCCCGACACAAGCGGCGATCGCTTTCCACTGAAACACAAAACACAACTGAATTCAATTTGGTTTTATTTTATATTTATTGCCGGTTTCTGTTTATACATAGTAATCACAGTACTTGAGCTATGCCACAACATGTTTGAGTTGGCTGGCTGGCTGTATGAGAACAGTGGGGCAAACCGGCTTTACTTGACTTTCCTTATTTATTTTAGTTATCATTATCTAGTGAGCTGTGGTGAATTGCTTTTTAGTTATACAATTTTTTTATATACAATTTTTTTGTTATGATATAAATATATTCAACAAAATTAATTTTAGAAAAAAAAAATATACAATAAAATTTGGATCTTACAAATGAGCACAGGAAAAAATTGCATTTCATTGAATATATCTAAAGGCAAATTCATTTATTATTTTAGCTAAGTAATAAATTTATTACTTCTTAAAAAATTCAAGAAATCACATTTTTTACCAATATATAATATTTTTTTTTATTAAATATATTTAAAACATTTTTATTTTATATTTTAGTTAAATATTAATTTTTAAACATTCCTAAAAATTCAAACAATGTAATAGAATTAAAATATATTTATGTTTTTAAAATGATTCTTATCGAATTTTATTGCATTTTTGTCTATATTAAACTTAAACATTTTTTTTTAATATTGCACATATAAGAACAATTATTATTATTATTATTTCTTTCTTTTCATTTATGTATTTGCGATTAGAAAACAAATTTTTTACTTTACGGTGGGCTACGCTTAAATTTGGATCAATATTTTACAATATGTGCTAATAGCTTGTTTTTATTTTTTAATTTTAAAATTTCATAAACATTTGTTTAAAAAAAAATCTATTTTTTCTTAGATATATACGGTTAAAAATAGCATAT